GTCATCGACAATCAACAGCAAGAAAAAAGAAGATTGGGTTCGTATTTTATTTCTTGTTTTTTCATGTTTATTCTTTATTTATTATTATAAAAGTAACTAAAATGTAAAAATAGGGATCTCTTTAGGTTAGTTACGATTAAATTAGGTAAAATAAATAATAATATAATATAAATATTTCATGAGGCACGCATGCAAGCAGCTCATAGTAGCTTATGAGTAATGTAATTCGATAGCATAACATGAGCTGCACATTCCCCGAGTGACTTACAACTAATAATGGCATGAATAGTAGTTAGTAATGGTTCAATAAAATTTAATTATAAATAGATATATACTGTGACAAGTTTAATTCTACTTAGGATAAATTAATGTAGTTTCACGTTACCATTTGAAGTCATTCTAGAAAGAAAAAAATGGGTAATTTAGATTTATTTGGATTTTTTTTAGTGGTTACGAGGTTGGTCAAATTGACCAGCCTTGTATAGAGTTAGTGTAGAGAAAATAACAGATAAAATATAAAATTTTACTGAAAACAAACATTTGAAATGTATTTCGGAGGTTTTAGAGATTACACAAATGGAATTTCAGATTTTTGAGATGATAAGAGAGAATTGAGAGAGAGATTTTGAATTGAGAGAGAGAGTTAAAGAGGCTCCCATTGCAAAAGCACTATTCAGTGAATATATTTCAGTATTTCAAGTCATCCTATTCTATGTTGTTTCATGAATTCTTGCTTTTTTTAATTCTTAGGCTTAAATCATACTTAGAATTCTAAATTATGTTAAGTTTCATTGCAAATTTGTTGTTTCCAATTTCCATTAAATTTTAATCAGTTTGTTTTATGATTTTATTTTATATACTTGAACAGTTTTGTAAGTTCTAGTTTTTGTAATGTTATATGCTTTTGTTTCTCTTCATCTGATTTACTTTTTATGACTTGAAAGATTGAGTGTTCAGTTATGATTTATTTAATTATTCTTTTAAGTCAAATAACACTGTTGCTTATTTTGCAATTTGATTTAAATTTTGTATATGCTGTTTGTATTTGGTAGCTATCTGGTCTTTTATATATATTTTTTTGAATAATTTTGTGTTTACTTGTTGATTTTATTTAATTGTGCTTTTCATTTTATTTATTTACCTGTGAAATAGGGAGCTCTGATCATACACAAATCAGTGTACATTTTCATCATTACAATACTTGATAACTGATAGAAAAATTACTTAAACTACATTTCAATGATAAGTTAGAATTAGAGCTTTCATACAATACAATTTCTGGGTTAAATGGTTCACCTTTTATGGAGAAATTGTCATTTTAAAATAAGCTCTTTCCATAATTTTTGTCAAGATTATAGTGAAAGGCTGTTGCCTTTTTCCAACTAATTAATATAGTGAAAACCTGTTTTAATTTATGAACTAGTCAGAATATGCCTGGAGAACGTCTAAACGTCATGTTTACCCTAATCTCAGTTGCAAGTGAAAGGTTTGAAGTTACATGAAATGCAAATGCTGTAGATGCAGTCATGATGGGGTGTTTGTTGAAGTTAAACCAATCAGAGAGAGAGAAACCATCCAAAAATACTAGAATCCACTCAAAATCGAACAAGAAAGCTGTGAAGCAGAAGGATTAGTAAAAATAAGACTTCCTCATATTGTAACCACTTTTATTATTTAAATTGTTCATTGATTTATAGATTAGATATAATTAATCAAACCTCAACTAACAAAATTCATAAGAAATAGTTGAAGTCTATTTATTGTTGTTCTGCTATGTGAGCAGAATGTTTTAGATGTCATGAACACATTGAAAACATTTCTTACAGTGCAAATAAAGGTCAAAATGGAATGATCCTGAACAAAAAGTAGCTTTGCTTTAGGGATACTTTTCATAAACACAGAAACAACATTTTGGGAGTTTCATTATGTTTCTTGAAGCAAGAGATCAAACTCTAAACTTGTGCAAAGTTTTACATGAGAAATTGACATTGTGAATGATCTGTTGCTTAATGTTGCCACCAAAACATGTCAATGTACGTATGATTTACTGATTATTTTTAAGGCTAATAGATGCATTTGAATTTTATATTTGGTTCTGTTTTTATTCACTAATATTTTGATTTTCTGTGTTGTTTTATTTCATTATTTTATCTTCAGTCTTCATTATTTTGTGATTCTTTCATAATTGTATTAAGTATTATCAATTTTTGTTTTATATACAGTTTCTTTAATTTCATTCAGTTTATTGTACTTTAATTTTGTTTGGTTTATTTCCTGCTATTTAGTTTAGCTTGCTGTAGAAGCATTTGTATGTATAATGTTTCCCTTTATTGTTTATTTGTGTCATGTCATCATACATATATAATAAGAAAATGTTTACCAGAACTCGTGGACTGGGGAGTGTGCTGGTTTGTGGACATGAGACCCTGTAGTTCACTTTTTGTTACTACAAAAAAAGTGCTCCATACTTTGTGGCTATTTGTGTGTGTTATAAGAGTGAAGGTCAAATCATAGTATACTATTAGAGTACTCCAAGAGTTGGCAGTGGATGCTGTTGACTAGCTGTTCTCATCTATCAGCTAAGAATTAGGGATAGTTAGTGAAGATAACCCTTGTGTAACAGGTGAGCCAGTGAAGCCCAGTTATTTGGGTTTGACTTTTCACAAGTCACAAATGAGGAAGACAGTCATGTATATAGCTGAGTGAGCACACAGACCAAGAATTAACTCAGAAATTGATGATACAAACAACATACAATACTTTATTGTACATCCATATCTAACACATTGACATGGAAAGTACCGAAATCATCTTGTTCTTCATCAAACATATCAATGTCGTCATTTTGATCATGTAATTGTTCATTAAGTAAACCTTCTATCAGATTCATTAATTCTGACACTATGTTGAACAAATTATTATGTGAAATATATACCGACATAATCCAGTTTTAGTTAGAGAACTTGCATTATTTACACATCATATACTAGATGTTGTTAGACTAGAGAAGATATCAGTTGAAACTTAGAGAGCTTGCCTGCTGAAAATGGTAGAGTGTCAATACAACTGCCATCCTCTTCACTACAATAATCTGGCTTTTGGCTTCTTCTGAGGGAACTGATGCAGGTTGTCTGGCCGCCAGATAGAACTGGTATAGGTTATCTGCCTCAGGAAACTTCGGGGAAAGCTGGTTTTCTTTTCAACAAAAAACATGCAATTTCATATGTTTTTGTAGGTATTCTTAGGATACCTCAAATAGCTCTCCAGGTCCAATTGACAAGTAGGTCCTTCATGTAATTGGTTCAGTTATGTTGATTCACTGCTGACTCGTCAAACTAAAACCCAAACTAGACACTAAGACAATATTAATATTTTTATTAAGTTTTAAGGTTTGTAAAGCAATGTTTCTCTTTTGCCTTTTTTTTCTTTTCACATATTGCCTATCTATCATGCAAAGTAATTTTCATTTTAAGATTTAAAATACTTTTATGCCTCAGAAAATTTTGAAATTTCACATGCAAAATCTTTATAATATCCGGACAGTTATC